TTTGTTATATTAGTCCTGATTTGTCCTTTTTAAAGACTTTTTTTCATAATATTTTAGTTAAGGTGTTGCTTTTTTTGGACAATTATTCCATCTGGTTTTGGGTGCGGTGCAGCTGGAAGGATTTTTAGTCTTTTTGACTTCAAGACAGTTCTTATGACACATAACTATGGCAACCATGTGGGGTTTTTTGTTTGTCACAATCATGAGCAACTTATTAGCTCACGATTGAGCTAATAAGTCACCAGGCTGGGAATCGAACCTGCAACAGCCGTGTTGAGGACTAAGGCCTCCATATGCGGGTTGTGCGTAACCCCTGCGCCACCACAGCACACCCTACATCCTCACTTTTGATTAAAAAGTGACATTTTACTTTAACAACGCCATATTCAGCACCAGTTTCAGCATCCGCCTGTTACAATGGATGGAGAAAACATTGATCTGGTTGAGTCCTATAAATACCTGTGAGTTCACCTTGACAACAAACTGGACTAATCTATTAACACACATGTGGCAAATAAGAACAAACTGAGGAAGCTCTTCCTTCTTAGGAAAATCTTTCATTGTGTGCAGTCGGTTCTTCTGTATTTTTTATCAATTGGTTGTGGCCAGCGCTGCATTCACTGATGCTGCTTGTTGGAGCATCCGTGTGCGGGATCAGAAAGTGTATGTCGGTGATGGGTGGGGGAGCGGACTCTGTTGGGGAGCTGGTGGAGAAGAGGATCTGATGCAGGCCGTCCTCTGTAACCACACACACCCTCTGCAGGAGGCTCTGGGCGCTCAGAGAAGCAGTCGCACTAACGACTACAAGTTTCTGTGTTGGAGAACAAAGAGAAACTGGAGAGGCGCCATTAGGCTGAACAACACCTCCTGCTGACCATGTGCATTTGCAAATATCACAAGTATTATGAGTATGCCGGCTATTTTCTTTGGCTATGGTGTTCTATAGTTATTGTGCTTCCTTAAGGTTTAATTGATACTGTGAAATATGTTATTTTGTAATAAGTGGGAAGGTAGGCATCATTTGCATATTTTAAATAAACTACAAAATAAAAAAATGTTTTTATGGAGCTGTATTTTTTGATATGTACGTCTCTGTCTGTCTGTCTGTCTGTCTGTCTGTCTGTCTGTCTGTCATTAAACTCACGATGCAGAAAAAAACAAAACCAAACAAAAAATGCAAAAGAAAAAAAACAAGACAAAACAAATACAGAAATAGAAAAACAATATTTAAATTCCTGTCAATGGCAAGAACACAAAGTGTAGACTGAAAACAGTATACATGAATGCATAAGTTTATTATACTCTCACCATTTTATTCATACAGAATTATGAAAAGGGAAGTATTTCTCCTGTGTATTTTTCTAAAGCAAATCTCCACAAAAATCTGTTTCCTCGCCCCAAAGGTGGCGAAGAAACAGCCACCTGTTTCCTCGCCTCATCGTACGTTTTGTCTTCTAAAACGTACGATGACCTTCGTAATTTTAAGTGTGAAAAGGAAATGTTGTTTTAGTAATTCACAGCCTGTTGTTCCCTCTATATACATTTTTTGTGTGTGAAATTGCATCATAGTGGATAAAGGAATTTACTAGAAGAATGTGTAAACAGATGTGTGGTTGTGTTCACTGATGTTTTGAAGTTTCACAACCAGCTTAGACAACGCTACGGTAGCAGAAATTGTTCAAAAACAACACCTTGTCACGTGTTTGCACCAGAAAAGCTGCATCTTTTTTTCCCTCTTAGAACCCCAATAGAGGTTATATAAGAACTTTGAAGAATAAGGTCATAACAATTATCGCCCTGCTTTATAAATCATCATGTCCTCTGTTTACTCTATTTTTTTTACACTTTTCTTTAAAAAAATGCAAGTCTACAAACCCACAAAAGCCACACATTTGGTTACAAAACAGGTTAAATGTTTATGGGAAAAAGTATATTTGTGACTTTAAATATCAATTTAAGATGGAAAATGAGCTACTGGCCAAACAAAAAAGGAGTGCCTGAAATGAAAAGCAAAGATTGAACAGAGAGTTAGATGGAGATTCGTACATGTTTGGAGCTGCTGCTCCACTGACAACAAACTGATCAACCCTGCCAGAGACACCTGAGCTGTGAAGGAATGTCACAACCCAAAGACACAAGCGCACTCAACGATGAAAGGATGGATTGGAGGGAGATGCATCATGGATAATACTCACAGCTGCACAGGATCTTATGATCTTGCATGCACAGATTTATACATGCCTTATGTTTTAAGGCAAATAAGAAATATTTCAACTGTTCAGTCAGAGATTTTTATTTTGTACCTCTAAGCTGCTTAACGTTCTGCAGAAGTAGAACAGCACATGTAAAAAAAAAAAGGTAAAGAGCCTTCTGTTTGGCACAAAACTGATAAATGGATTATGCTGGACTGAGTTTGAGGTAGAGTCCGCAGGGACGAGAATTTGATATTTTTGAAGTTGGAAAAAGAACTGAGCTCAAACAGCTTTGATATCTTCTTTAATCATCTCTGCTCAAAGCAACACAACTACATAAAGCTTAAAGGTTTGTGAAGCATTTACGTATGAAGCAAAGGACTGGTAGACACGGGGGAACTCAGTGCAAAAAAATAAAAAACTAGAAAAAATTAAATTTTACTGTAATTTAGTAAACCTTTCACTTATGTGTATGTATGAAGTATTTTTATCATACATTTGATCTACCTGTGTTGTAAAAAGGGCAAAAACTATTTCTGATTTCTATTCAGTTAATAGAAAAAGGTGAAGTAGGGACGCATCGATTTGAAAAAAAATGAGCCAATGTCAATATCTGATATTAATATTGGTAATATTGCCAGATTACCAACATTTACTGATATTAAATCTGTGACCACAACTTAAAAATGCCGCTGGATTTTTTACACAAGCTGCAGTCATGTCAGATTTGAAGTAGTTGATGGGAAATTTGTTCTTTTTACTGACTTGATTCTTTGTGAGTCACCAAAGTGAGTGGAGTTTTTGAGTCAGTTACCCAGTACAGCCCAGTACACACTGCACCCAAAACCAGTACAGGTCTGCAGCTTTTAATAGTCCAAAATTGTTGCCATTTTATTTTCATTTTTAGGTTAGATGTTTGCAAAAAGAAGCATTATCTAGTACATTAAAAAATAAGCACAAAGTATTGACAGGAAAACATATAAACAAACATTATTTGTTTTTTATCATCTCAGCCAAAGTTATAGCGTGATTGTGGAAGAGCAGCAGGTTGCAGACCCTGCACTATAATGTAAGTGTATTTAATATCATCTATAAAAGAAAACAAATAACTTTTTTTCTCTTATCTCAGATTTTGTTGTACACTTTCTTTGCACACTGTAGCTTGCACGCAGTAATTCATTCTGTTTGCAGTGATGATTAATATCCTTACCTCCACAATAATACAACAGAACAAGCTAAAAATTTATTACCACAGTGACTTGATGAATAAATTTCTACTCTGGGTGCAGGAGCGGACGGCAAAGAGCAGGAAACAGACGGGTTCTACCCCCTGCAGAGAGCGCACTGTTGCTGAGAGAAAACCATTAACTCATCCTCAGCCATTCGTCTCATCCTTATTGGAGCTGAACTGAGCTGAATCGTTACCTCGCCGATCCGCCCCTGCCTGGGCTCAACCAAGTTGATCAGTCCCTGCTTGAGCTGCGCTTTGATAAGTTGGTTTCGTGAATGAATTTGGGTTACAGCTAAAGTGAACGAGTTAATGTAGATGACGAATCGTGTCTCGTGAGTCAGTAAAATGACTTAAGACTGGCTCAGACTCCGAGACAGTCTTAAGGAATTTGTTAACAAGAAATGAAGGAAATAAGCTTGACTATGAAATCTCAACGGTCCGCAGACATTGTGCATACAGTCTGTGTGGCTCACAGAATACACAGATTACTTAGAACAATGTTGTTCAACTTCTGGTTTGTAGACTGATGTAAACCACATTTTTTAAACATTTTGCACCTTTATCTGTCTCATGTTTAGTTACAGACTTATGCAAAAGTGCTTTAACCAAAACCTCTGATAAACATTCAGATGAAGACAAAGATTCACATAGTTTTCTAATCACAGTAATTTTCTCAGCAAAATAAACATCCCAGTGTAATATTTCCCTTTGTTTGAGTCTAGCTTGTCTACTTTTCAGTGTTGTGTAAAAATAGGATGCTTTAGACACTTCCAAAAGGAATCTGTAGAAAAAACCGCTGCAAAAAAACAGACTTTACGGGTCACATTGCACCATCATGTCATGCTTGAAAAGATGTGAGTTTTCTGCACATGTCATGCTTGAAAAAATGTGAGTTTTCTGCAGAAGCTCCAGAAACAAAGAAAAGCTTTCAGATTAAAAGACATTAAAAGCACCAAACCATCCAGTGACAGGAAACCTTGAATGACACTGATTCCATTTAGAGGAGTAAATGAATATTTAGAATATTTACCACTTTTGAAATCGGACTGTAATGAAAGCTACAGTCACTTCTTTCATTATCTGCATTTGCATTGACCATGTAGTTGCATAATTTGGCATTTTGAAAATAAATTTGCTTAACGGAAACAAGGCAAATTCGAAAAGCTCTCATTTTCAATAAAAGTTTTGGTGTTAGGATGAGATGTTTTTTTTTTAACCGTATCAGAATTGGCTTGTTTTGCAAAACTGCAATGGAAAGACTGTTTTTCAAGTCACACGATCAACATTTGGATGTTGCCACTGAAGCAAACCATGAGGAAGAAGTCGGCAGGAAGTAGCAGGAGGATCGCGGCGTGGCATGCTTTCTAACGACTCACATGAACAAACGTATTCACATGTGATTTTAACAGTGTTTCTTATTTAATGCAAACACCGCAATTGCAAAATTATGTTTTTCCTACATTAGTGGAATACTGACAAAGCTCTGCACTCATTTGTAATGGAAATGCAGCTACTGATGGCTATGCAGACATATTTTCGCATGTTTTCAGCGTTCTGTGATCTCTTCCAGGACGTACCCGTTGCTCTTGACAGGAAACAAAGGTCTGAAATCCTGGAGCCACTCCGAAGCCCAGCTGGTCTATGAACGGCGGCTCGTCCTGCGTGTGGATCTGAACCTTGATCCCAGCTTCAAATGATGTCTCATCTGTTGATGGTAAAAGGTTAGGACGGTTACAACAGGGATGATGATTTGTATGCACACACGAGCCTACGCCATCATTACTAACCAGAAGGTGCTAAAGTGTTGCAGTGTTGGAATATATTTGAGTCAGGGGAGTAAAAACAGACCGGAAACTGAAAAGTCTTAGCTGAAGAAAATCTTAGAAGCTATCATTGCCTATTCATCAAAATCTGAATCACTCCATACATCATCGTTTCTCATGAATGACAAACACTTTGGTATTTTTGTGGGTTAAATAGCCTGAATAAGGAGCGAAAGGATAAAGTGGATGGATTTTCCAAACAGATTAGACGATGACAATGCCTGCCTCACTGTAGCCTTGCTTACTGCAGAGGAAATGAAAGTGAATGTATAAATTATTAAATAAATGATGATGAGGATAAAACAAAATCAATACAGCTGAGAGCTTCCTTCCCCATAGCACTCTGCTGTATAGATTTTAAATCAAAGAGATGGGCCTCTTTAGACTTGAGGGAAACCCCTCAATGACACATGGACTTCAAGCAACACCTCTGCAAGCAAGCATATTTTTTTCACAATAACTGACCTAAAATGCTAATTATGCAGTAAGCAAGTCGGCTCCTTCGAGAGCCAGCTTGGTGATAATGTCCAGTGTCTGCTTCCTGCCAACCCAGCCCTTCTCTTCCCCTTCTTGGTTGTCACTCGGCATCATCTTCTAAGCGGAAAGGCTTTCTCACTATTTTCAATTAGGGAGCTAAAAATTGTGGCAGGAGTTCAGCAAGAAAGCTTCGACATGGTGTGACAGATTTGAACTGCTACATATTGGTCCAGTGAGATTGAATACCGAGCCGTTTTGTTCTGCTGCCAAGGAAAATGCTCGAGAGGCGGAAGATAGATATACAAAAACAGAAAGCATCCCAATCTTCTGCCATGCTGCAGTCATGGCCATCCTTTGTGGGTTTCATAGAATAAAAATCACTTTTTTTCACTTAATGTGGAAGAATTCCTAGTATCCGCAGACATTCTTGTTAGGGAAGTCAATGTCCAAGAAAAGCTGAGAAAAAATAAAAAATCATAACCTTGTCAGTCAGGAGTCTAAAAATGTCTCAAACAAAATGTAAACCTTTACACATATATTTCATTTTGGTATGTTTTGTTGTCATTTTAACTTGTAAGTGTGACTTTATTACAATTTTACAATCAAAAAAGCAAAGTTTAAATTAATATTCAAAAATAATTGCAGACATGATATAGTCGAGTCGAGTTTAAGTGAGCTAAGAAGATGAATCCATAAATTTTAACAAAGACCACAGATTGAAAATATTAGCATTGCTTTATTGAGAATGATATTAAATCTGATTAAATTGTTTTATCATAGATAAATCATCAGATTTTAAATTGTTTTGCATTTAAAATTAAAATGATGGACATGTTTACTTTTTAAAACTGTAAGGATCTATATTCATAGTTTGACTGTTGTGTTTCCATAGCTACAGGATGGTGACATGAGTTTAATTTTTGCAATTTAGCTTTGTTTATTCCTAAAAAAAATCTCATGATGTTAGCGGTGTAAACAGTCATATTTAATAAATTATAATATGCATTCACAGACCTGCTCGTCAGACTAAAAGTACCTTTGAAAAATAACCTTTAAGGAGGTATTAAATACTTTTCATTTAGCCCACATTAATGTGATAAATATTGGTTTGATGTCATATTTTAATTTCAAATGTTTTCATTAACTGAAGGTGGAAAATAATCATGACTAACAGAAATAAAGGATTTCAAACATCAATATGTGTGTAACTAATATTTATAATGTGACAAAGTTCCTGAAATAAATGGGCTTTTAAGTAATATTTTCACCTATACTAAAATGTTTTTATTTTTCTGCTTACATATTTAAATTTTTTAAGAAGAGCAACCAAATTCAAATTCCTTGTTTGTCTGCATGGATTATGGTTAAAGAGGAGGATATTCTCAGAAAAAAACAAGATTAGAGGTTGAACATTAAGCAACATGTAAAAAATAATTTATTACTCAACCAAACTTTAACCAAGGGAATCAGGATTCATCACACTTGTTGGGGTTGAACTTCTTTAATTCCACGCGACTCTATTCTTGGTGTTTGTTATTTTTTGTCTCAGTTAGTCTGAGTCAGTGTTGTGAGCAGGCAGCACACAGAAGAAGCCCGTTGTGATGCCATCAGGCGCTGATAATAGACTATTTCTTTAAATCCTTTTGATTGCATTTGAGGGAACAGACGGTTCTCAAGCAGAAAATGTGCCCTGCGTTATAATACTTGTCTGTTCTGTGAAGCTCTGTTCACGTCGAGTACTGTCACAAAAGTTCAGCTAATAAGACAAAAAAAGTGTTTGGCAAGTTTCAAATAATGGAAAAAATCTGAACAGAAGCTATTTCTACCATTAAGAAATCTCCTGTAGCAACACTGCATAAGGTTTTGTATAAGTCAGCAAAGAAATCAGAGCTGACATTATTTTCCCCATCAAATCCCAAAGGAGGTCTGCATGATTTAGGTCATGACTCTGGAGGGTTATCCTCAGACTTTTACTTTCTCCTAAGAAAGATATTTTTATTCAAGCAGCTGATCTTGTTGGGTAAACCACCTCTGTGGCTTAACGATCCTTTAGCTTCCTCTTATTTATCTGGACTGCAAACCTTCCTGAACCTTTTCTGATTAGATCAGATCAAATTTGCTGTGTTTGTTGTAAGGATGGAGAATTGTGTTTCTGCTGATCTGGTGGCAGTTTTTTCTTTTTTTCTGCACACATCACCCTTCTGTTTGCAAAGGACACGGTCATTTAAATATGCTGAATCAGACAGCGTCTCACTTTTAATGTTTTATTGCTGTTAAGAAATAACTCCCTGAAGTCGTGGTAGATGATTCATTTCTAGGAATACTAACATTTTAAAGCAGAAGGTTACGATGCTATTTAAAGCATCCCCAGTATTTCTGTTATTACTGCAAGAGGTCAAAGCATAATGAGTAGGATTCCAGAATAACTCGTGTTTGGAGACTAGGACATGACTGGGATGTTTTCCTTAATGACTAGACTTTAGAAAAGCTGTTTTTTACCTTCAAATATTATTTTTTTATCAATATATTTGATGCCTCGTCGTTTTTAGAAAGAAAGATAATAATTTTAACCTTTTACTTGACTGGTTGGGAAATTAAATACTTTTAAGAAATTGCAATAAAATAAAGTTATCATTGTAAGAGGCAAAATTGAGACAAGCAGAGTCTAAAAATCAAAGCAAGGGTGACTTTATATTGGAATGCAGTTCTCCCCTCTGCCATTCAGTTTTTTAGGTTTATAGTTCCTCAATAACCTCAAACCCCTTTTACTGATCAATTTGTCATTAACGTGATACCAGGTGATCCAGAGAGATCACTGGAGGGTGTTTGTTTCAGATGACGCAGAACCAGAGAGGCGTGTTGAAATGTCAGAAGTCCTGATATTTAAGTCTTATTCTTATAAGTCTATTTTGTACTAATGCTGTCAATTTATTACAAAAATAATCAGACTAATCCCATTCTAGTGCTGTTATTAATCACATTTAACCACTGTGCTTAACTTCCTAAGCTTAAAATGTAAATATTGTCTGCACATCTAGTTTTTAAGGTATAATGGGAAAAAAAGGGACATCCAGGTAAAACAGCAGTTAAACAAAAATATATATATGTGTATAAAATGTGTATTTGGAGCATTTCCTCCATAATGTAAACATGCAGACTGTTTCAGCATTGAATTCAGTGCTTTAAAGAAGAGCAAGTCCTCAAAATGATACAATCTGTAATAGATTCGGCTGATTAGATTCTCTTTGTTACAGACATGCTCTGACTCTGTCTTCTAGTTGAGGAAATTTGAATCTTAAGGGGATGCTGTGATTGGCTGAGTTTGGTGGCGTGAGCAGGAAATGCTCTGTTCTATGAAATGACAGGAGCAACTGTTTGTCATTGTTGGAATATGGAGACACGGAGTCGCCTTTGCAACATGGAACCAGGCATAGACTAATAACAAGGACATGTCTATTTGCAGATTCATCTCTACCTGACTTCTCTGAGCGGCTTTATGAAATCTGCATCACAGATCATGATCCATGTGACGACGTCCCAATATGGATCAGAGCGTAAAGGTGGTGGGTCGAATTCGACCTTCCATTGAACATCGACACCATTCAGCTGATCAGAACAGACTCATTCAAACAGCAGCAATATCTTTCATAAGCAAAGTTGTTTTTGTAGCCTTTTCCCACATGAGATTATGGTTTCATTAGATGCATCCAATGCTTCAAATTAAATCAGGGGTGGCATTTTGTTCTCCGACGGTATTCAGTGGCAGTTCTTGAATGAATGCGACCTCGGGTGAGCCTCTCTCTCTGTGACCAGCATGCACATTCATATTACTGGATTACTGAGAAGCAGACTAGAAGACACTTCACTGAGTTTCTAGCTTAGCCAAGAATCAATTGTTTTTACTTTCACAAACTTTGCTTTCAGGAGTCTGAATCACAACAGTTAGAACAATTCAGTGCAGCTTAAATTGTCCCAATGTTATACAAATATCACAAATGTTCATTTTTATTTCTAAAAGGGAGGTTTCATAAATCTCAAATTATGCTTGAGATTTATGAGATGTTATGATAAACCCATTTGCACCATAAAATTGTGCAAATAAGATTTAAAAAATACATTTGCTTAATGCAAACATGCTTATTTTGAACAATTCTGCGCTAGAATAATGTGTTTTTTCACAGACGTATCAAAATAGATGCAATGGAAACACTTTTTTGGGTCACGATAGTCACGTGATCAACAGCTGGATGCTGCTACTGGCAGAAATGACGAAGACGACAACAGGAAGTAGCAGGAGGAGTTCCAGCTGGGTCCACCAGAGCTCTCACAGCATCACACGCTTCATAAAAGTTTGTCTCATTCCAACATTGCTCTTCTATAAGATGGCTGCCATTTCTCCAAAACT